CTTGATAAAAATAGCTGCGTAAACGCAAGCGAAACATAAGTGGAACCACCTATTGGTGTGACACCCAAGTCAACTTGCCAAGTTTTTATGTCAGTGTTGGTGGTTTGACCAATCAACCGACAACTGGGGTAGCAGAAATTTGGGAAGCTAACCTGAAATGCCACGGAAAACGAATCCACATGTTTCTAGAAATGATATGAAATCTAGAAAGGTTAATGCAGTCAAGCTGCTGGAAAATAATTCCATGAAAATCAAAAAATAAATAGATGAGTACTATTCTGATCATTCCCATATTGATTTCAATTTAAGATCCACCGGTAAACAGCTGTTTCAGCCTATTGGGCATCGTCAGTACCGGGCAGGCGGTTCTCGATTGGAGACAAAATCTGAATAACTAAGAAAGGTAGTTAATAAAAATAACTGCTTAAACGGAAGCGAGACATAAGTGGAACCACCTAAAAATATAAATTACTTGCTGTTGCTCGCTCTTATATTAACGTACAGCCGAAGCTACTAAACCTAGAATCTTGAAATATCCAGGTAGGTTCTTTGTATAGCGTAAATAAGCATCAAGAAAGGGAATCAGGAATTTCCACCGCCATAGGAAAAAATAGAAGTTCAAAGATTGTATTGAATTCCGTCAGTTTTGAAGTAGGAAACCTGAAGTTCCGGGTTAATAAAAAATTACTGTAACTATTTGTTAGAAATGGTCTGTCACGAAACCTAATATGACAAACCAACAAAATTCTACGTGGGCGAAGCCGCGGGCAACAACTAGTTTTCAAGATGGAGAAGCCAAAAACATTTTTTCATATAAAAAATTTTATTGCAAACCTTCAAAATGAGTTTTAATTGAAGTAAAGAACTTTGTGAAAGTTATTTCTCGGGTTTATGCAGGGTGATATGCAGGTTTTATACCTAACGTTTCGTCCACTACTGCGTTAGACATCATCAAAGGCAATGTGGTAACGGTCGCTCGAGTTGTTGGTGCTCGAGTTGTTGTTCTCGTTGTTCTGAGCCTAGTAACTACGATATTGGTATTTGACTCTGGTTTCATATTATTATTAGTGGGCGTGTATTGGTTTCTCTCAATAGGATAGGATTGATGCTCATTGTCTCTTCTTCTCTATTGAAATTATCCCTGTATTTTTGAATATCAATCGCCCTTATATACTGTTGGATAATACCTAATTTTAAATTTTATGGAGTATAACTGTATTTTATAATAAGATAATGTGAATGCCTTCTTTGTTGGAACATGGTCGGCTTTGTTAGTTTGTCTGAGTCGTCAATTTCTCTTATGTTCAGAGAGACGGGTACCTACACTTCTTTTTGTGATTCCAATGGCCCACTGGTGTTGCTGAAGGTCCTCTAGAGCTTAGCTGACCTTGGACTTTGATAGTTTTTGTTAGCCTGAACATTGGTTTGGCGTCGTGTTTTTTGTAAAATTTTTAACATAGGGAAGAAAAGTGTTTCCCTCTTGGGTCGTATGGCCCGCTCAAATTCTCCTTCGCTGTACCTATTCCCTTCAAAATCAATCTTCAGATGGTTGAGTTCCTCAGGAAGACTCTCAAGTTCACAGATACCAACGTTTCAATTACCCCTCCTTTTTTGCTGTGGCTGGTGATTAGAGAGATACCAACCAATGTTTTAATTACCCTTTCTTTTTTGTTGTTGCTGGTGATTAGAGTTTTTGTTCAGCCAACAATATAGTTTCACCGCCGCTTGCCCCAATGTCATCGGTGAATTATCAAGATGAATAAACCTCTGAAGAAGCCAGCCACTCGTGCTGGCGAATCGTTAGGATGCAGTTCCAAACTACGACGGCCTTCAAACCCGAATGAAGATAGTAACACCATAGTAAAAATCAACCAGTAAGTCCACTCCCACTACGTTCATTCAAAAATTCTCAATGTTCTCGATGACCTCGAAACGAAGTGCAGAGCCAACTTTCTCCTTCTACCATAGGCGAGCGCTCATATAAAAACGAAATTGTAGATATTATAGAAGATTGTGTGGTAAGTTACTTATTATCACCTACAAAAACTAAAAACAATGATAGCAACAGCGAATAAACTGAACACAATATCAATTTCCGACCGTTTATTACAACTAATCCGATGCCCCTGGCACCGTCGAATCCTTCGATACTACAGCACTGAACGCGTTGGATGAGAATGTCATCCTAAGAGCGGTTGAAACTCCCTGGCAACTCGAGCGTGTTAAGAGAGCCTACTGGTTATATTATTCTACTGTGGTAACAATCTAAGGCCCGCTGTTTTTTCCATGAAGATATTTGCCACCGCCGGACTTGATGGACTGACCATTGCGGTGCCATCCGTTTGTTCGTAATAAACACCACCTCACTGGAAATAAGTTGATAATAAACAACGAGCGAAGAGGGCGGTTATATCTGCTGGGAATACTTCGCTAATTAGCCGTATCGTGTCCCTGAAAATAGCTTTAACAGGGTCATCTCTGGACGTGACAGTTTGCAGAAACTTTAAGTTTTCAAAAAGAAAATAAAGGAATACTTGTTTGAAATGAAACTCAGAGGAAAACGCATAGGTACATAATTTATTTCTAACATCTGATGAAAATAAGTTGATGAAAAGAGGGCGGTTATATCTGCTGGTAATACATTGCTAATTAGCCGTATCTGTCCTTGATCGGAACCATTGTATATACGGAGAGCACATCGAAGCTCACTAGTATCTCTCCAGCTAGGCTGGTCAAGAGACGCAATCAATTTCAAAAAGGTAAGTCTATACAAAGATGTGTAGATTATGGTTCCATTCTTTCTGCGGAAGATTTCCATATTCTTTTTTGTATAAAGATGGAGAAGTAGAAAGCCAAAACCTTTCTTTCCCAAAAATTAATCTCTCTTAAAAATATACCCCTTTCAATCTAAAAATGAAATGAACATCATTAAAAAGTTAAATTTTTTTGCGGTTTCAAAACGAAATGGGTGTATACCGATTTGTCATATATTATTTCCAATTTCCTATTCTTACTCGTATTCACTGCTTCAGTCCATTATATCCTTTATACAATGATGTAATAACATAAAAAATTTAAACATTTCAGACAAATAGGGAAATTGAATCAGTGAAAACTTCGATTCCTCGGACCAAAACAGTGGGTAAGATACTTCTTCGGCATGGAAAAGCATGATAGCATGTATATGTCAGGCTATGAAAAAATGTACAGGACATTAAAAAAAAGTTTTCAGATCTGTCTGTAGATCAATGGATGGTTAAACAATATCAGATTTGAGGAATATTTTTCTAACTACAGTAGGGGAGGGGTGGGCATAGTGGCCACCCTGAGGAACATCTATTTTTTCCACCCCTAAACTTATTTGAAACATTTTATAAATCCCTTCAACATTCAATATGGTTACTTAAGCCTGATCCAAAAATAAAAACGACTTGCTTTTTTAACTTATTTCTACAAAATTTTGACTTTTCCAAAAGTTGTCAAAGTGGCCACTTTAGGCCACTAGGTAGGGCAAAGTGGCCACTGCCTAAATGGATTTAGGTAGTATGGAAAAAATAAAACGCATTTAGTTTCAGAACTCAAAACGATTGTATTAGGGTTTTAAACAAAAATAGGCATTTCTGAAAGTATGTGAAACTATGAAATCACTGGTATTTACATAAATCACAAATAAACTCATCGTCCTCCTCTTCGGCTCCTGTGCAGGCTTCGTGAGCATATTTGAGGCACCCAGAACATCTAATCCAGCCTTCGTTGTCCTTGGATTTCGAGTAACAATCATCACAGAATAAACAATCGACGTTGCTGACGTTGCCTTCATCATCATCATTATAGAGATCGTCATTCTTTTTCTTAAACAATGCGCGTTTTCCTTTATTTTCAATTTTAGCCACCCTTTTCTTAGGAGCCTGATGTTTCTTTTAGATTTCCCTTTCTCTTTTTGCTTCTAGTCTACGTTGTTTCGCATTCACTTTATCTTTTTCTTCTTTCCTAATTGCCATGAGAGTGGCCTTATATGGACTGGATGTTAGAACTGTTGCTGTTCCTTTCTTCCGCTTAGTTTCTCTTTTGATAATCCTATTGATCTTGGGTACAGGAACAATTTCACGTGTTGTTTGGTGGACTGTTCAAATTTGAATTTGTTTCTAGGGAACCAGCTGATGAAGTGCTGAGAATAGACGGATCAAATATGGCAGAAGGAAGCCCACTGCTAGACCTGATTGGATGATCAACAGAAGGTTGGGATACCATTATGAAGGCGGTATTGGGGTTTTCAGAACCACCAATGAGTTCTGTTGAGCTACTGTTGTTGATAGACTGAGATGAAGATGCACAAACTTGTATGATGGTGTTCTCTTCTCCTGGTGCAGGGTCTTCTTGTAGAGTTATTTCTGTTGTTTCGGCAGCTGCATAATCCAGTTCTGTAAACACATTTCTGTCGATTGGGATTCCACATTTTCTAAAGCCTTTTATGGCGATAACTGGTGTGGCTGCCTTTAAAAACGCTTCACCAAGTAGCCGGGAAACCTGGAATTGAGTCACTGTCCGTCCTGGATTATTTCTTAAGAACTTTTCAATGCTTTGTTCAAAATACATATTGAAAGGTGCCATAAACGCAACGTCGAGTGGCTGTATTTTATGACTGCAGTGAGGGGGAATGCACAAAACAGTGACATGATTGTCTCTGGCTTTTTCGATGAAGTCTTAGTTGTTCCTGTGTGTTGCATGACCGTCTAGTACCAGAAGAATCGGGTCGTCTTTTGTTGGCTTTGAAAATTTTAAGAAGTGGTCAAACCATGAGGTGAATATTTCCATTTGCATCCAACCAGTAGAATGGCATGCAGAAGCTGATCCAGGAGGTACACCGTCTTGCAGTTCAACTTTCATTCTACGCCTTGGTAAAATCACAAAGGGTGGTATAAATGTCCCTCCAGCCGAGGTTGGGTTTTCTAAATCCCTGTACCCAAACTTTCCCAGCAGCTTTCTTTTTCATGACTGAAGTTATGAGGTATGCAATTTTTAACAGCGAGTTTGTAGGCAAGAGCCTGTAGATCAACGACTGTTACACTAAAAAAACGGAATTCCATGTCCAAAAGATGGTTAACTATTTCTTTTTCATGCCCCTCAGTAAATATGGGCTGAAAGTGACCAAAAACCTTTTTTGTGTTTACTGCTTGAACATTTTTGTCGAGTGCACGCCGTTTTAAAGTATTTCGAGGTACCTGGAACCTTTTAGCTGCGGTTTGCTAAGGCAACCCGTCCTTCTTAACTGCATCAATGGCCTTTTGCATAGCTTCAGAGTTCCAGGACTGATGAGCGGTTTTCCTTTGATACACCATACTGTTCTTCTTCTGTAAAAAAAAAAACACGGAATTAGAATAACTGAAGTTTGCCGTAATCTTGTTCTTGATATTATAGGCCTACTTAGTTTTGTTTGTGATAAATGCAGTTTCAAAAATCAAGTTTTATGCAAAATACATTGCAGGCAAAGTGGCCACTATGCCCAGCCTTCCCCCACTTGAACAAAGCATTTGAAACAAAAAATTCACCTATATCTCTCATCCATGGAACATTGAATGGACAAGACATCTCGTTAACATTATTATTTTTTACTTTATGCAAAAACAGTATTGCAAACAGGTTTCAGGAGAGATTATTTTTTGAGAAAGACCGGTTTTGGCTTTCTTCTTCTCTATCTTTATAAAATTCTGAAATTAATTGATTTCTTCCTTTGTTAGGAACATTTCCACATTTTTATAGAGATGGAAAAGTAAAACCCTGTCCTTCTTAGTTGTGTATTATGAATCGTATTGTGGTTAGGATATACGTGATATTTCTGTCTGAGGAGTTAATTTTTTGTATTTCAAAAACGCTTTTATCAGCTTCATTTGTATGTTTGTTTATAACCGACTCCTTTGATTTTCACTAATTTTAAACGGACAGATTTATTTTAAACTTCAAACACTCATCAAGAATATGTGATAATACAATAATAAGTTCATAAATTCATCTCATCATCCTGATCAGGTTCGCCAAAATTAAATAATTTCGATTGGTCCATTGACCGAGTGGGTTAATGCGCAAGTCATAATCGGCGCGAAGCAACGGCCTCACCAGGCGTGAGTTCAAATCCTGTCCATGACGAAAGAAATATTCATTTTTTTTCTGCAATTTCCGGGATTGGTACCTTTCTTGGATCTTACATCTCAGACTACCTCTCCGGAATTGAATCCTTATTCCCCGTTACCCGTTACAACCATGATAGACATAAAAGCTACCATCGACAGTTGATAAGGCACACATCTGAATTATCTCAATACTTTGAAATTACCACAATTATCCAAGTAAACGTGGGTACGATCTAAAGAACCATAACTGATTCAATGAGCAATTCGCGATTTCACCTTAATCTGACACACATCAAAACAACTTTGAGTAGATTATCGCGTGATTGTGTATGTCCATTGCTATACAATAAATTATTTTGTATTGAGACTGACAGATAATAATATTATATATTATAGTTCAAAAAATTAAAACAAATGAGCTTAAAATAGCAAGCCTAACTAAAAAGTGGCTTGATGTAACACATAGCTTTCAATAAGTCTGAAATCAGAACAAATCTAATTACAAAAAAATCGCTTTTGATGTAACAAAGCTTGGGGTGCTAAATATCCATTGTTATAAATACTTGGTTAGGCGCTGTTGCCAGATTGGAGCCATAATAAAAATATAATTTGAAGCATTCCACGCCTTTTTAGTTTTCTAAACTATTATTTATTTGAATTTCTTTTCAAAATTGTTGTGTGCTTTCCTAACGATATTACAGATGCAAACTCAAGTTTGGGTCTTACTAAGCTGCAAAATGAAGCGTACCTATTTATTTTATTAGAACTGTGAGTTTGCCTGATCAAAAATTCTAATATACGATTCACATTCCCAAATATTTGATTGATATGATTTGTGAAAGAAAGGAAGTTGTTATAGGTTACTCCCACATCCTCAACCTCAGTTTTCCCCACTAAGACTTCTCTGTTCATCTGATATTCAAAATGGATGAAATTTTTAAACGAGTTCTAGTTTTTTATTTCGAAATAGATCGTCTGCGAGAAGCAGATTACTCAATTTATGTCGGTGAATTATTTATAAATTGTAAGAAAAAGAAAGGTCCCAACATAGATCCCTGCGGAACTCCTCAATTTGCATGGAACTTTCCAGAGGTATTTTCACTGGCCAAGAAATATAGATATTGTATTTCTTATTTATTTCAACAGGTTTATGTACAGAAAAAAAAAGTCCAAGGGGGACGATGTTATATTAGTAAACTCACTTGTCATATTCAGCGCATTAACCTAAGACTCCGATTGCACCAATCCAAAGATGTGAAATATATGAAGAGAAAACTGTAATGACTAAAAAATTTGAAACAATCCAAATATATGAGAATGCTCATGATTTACACGTTCTCGATGATTTTTTTCGATATCACTGACAATGATATAAACAAGAAATTATGTTTGAACGATTTGTTGATGTTGAGTTTTTGGTTAATTTGACAATGTTGAACAGCAATTATGGACTTGGTGAAATTCTATCAGCTTCAACCACTGACCGGAATGATGTAGAACCGCCGGAAATTCAAATGGTTTATTAGTTCAAATGATAATAAGAATAATAACCGATGTTATTGATAGATAATAACGAATTGAGAACAAATTGGAAATTATAAAACATACAAACATCTAGGTATCAAAAGGCAGAGTAAGTTCTTGTTTTTGCTCATTTTGGAACCGAAAAATTGCTCTCCTCTACTCAGCCTAAATAACAAAACAAAAAAGTTACATAAACACATGAAAATAAAGATTTGAAGAAAAATGCTTTTTTATAAGTAATTTTATAGTAATGCATATTTATTCGATAAAAACAAAATCATATTACTTACCTGAAATAAATTCCATGAGAGCAGGATATTTTTTAGCCAAAATTTGAAGTGGCCAGCAGACATTTTCATCATTCCATCGGAAATCATATTGTAGAGATGAGTAATAATTCATGGCACAAACGAGTACGTGTTTCGAAAACAACTAAAGCACATCGCATCCGATAATGTAACCCAATAATCACTTTTTGTCACTATTCTTTCAGTGATAGAAGAGGAAACAGACACATCAAATGAAGAAGTTGAAGACGATGGACTCACACCTGCTCTACCAAAGGACTTGAAACATATACCGCTGAAATTTGAAAAATTGACTGTGGAAGATTCTATCGCTAAATCCGCACAGTTTTATGATCTGATGAACAAACGGAGAACTGTCCGACACTTCAGCAGCGACTTCGTTCCAAAAGAAATCATTCATAATATCATAAAAACTGCAGGTAAGGATCATCAATATTCTCATTATTACAACTTTTTTCGGGCCATAAAGGTCGCGTCAATAGTTTGAAACCAGAGCCTATCGCCCTTACTTACTTCAACTGTTATGATATTTTATCCGCTACAAGATCTGTGTGAAAAAATTCTGGTAGGAGAGTTGCATTAGCATACAGAGTGATTGTTGTCCCTCACAAACCAATTCACTTGGTGAATCTGTTGGATTGGTTTTTTTAAAGGACAAAACATAATCACTACAGGAATCGCTGGAGATTAAATTCATTTGGAAAACCGTTCTCGGTAAGTTTATTCCACATAAACGCAGTTCTCGAAATGAAAGAGTTCTTGAAGGGTGAAATTCGAGGTGTGCTGAGTTGAACCCCAAAACCATGAGCAGTCACAGTCTCCACACAATCTCCAACCTTTCTTTCCAGACTATCAAGGTTGCAAATGATGTTCGCGTCTCCAATCAGGCGGCTGGCTCTTTTCTGCACGGAATCCTGCAGCTTCAGGGTATGTTTGGGGGTGGAGTTCCATACATGAGAACAGTACTCCAAATAAGGTCTGATCTGAGCTTTATAAAGCATCAAAAGTTGCTGAGGTGTATACAGTTTTCTGGTTCGAAACAGTGTTCCAAGCTTTTAATAAGCAGCCTTTACAATTTCATCGACATGATTGGTGTTCATTTTCACCACCAACGTTTGGAGACATTTATCTTTTTGGAGAAAACCGATGTCTGGGTTTTCATGTCATTGAATTGAAGATGGTTACTTTCACTACAATTCGAAATCACTTCTAGATCCTCTTCAAGATATTCCACCTCCTGCTGCCGGTGAAGATATGCATCCGAAGCCGATGTCTTGGAATCCAAATGGAATAACGAGACAAGTGTGCTATCGTCAGCAAAGCAATATATTGGATATGCAACTGAATAACATTTTAAATAACATAACATTCGCTATTAAAGTATACAATGTCAATAATGGAACAATGGGTAACTGTGATAACAGAAATCCAGTCTTCATAATGCACTTAGTGACCAAAGAATTGAACGAATTCCTTTGATATTATTTCCATGTAAAGCGAAAGTATAGAATAAATAGGTATTTCCTAGTAGAGGTTTTCACGAAGGTCTTGAAATGTTTTACACCAAAAAAATACTGTACATAGATTCAGTCCAAAGACCCTTTCTGAACAACTTTTTTGCAGTACATAATCAAAGAATACAAATACATCTTCAATCTGAAGAATACCCTTTGGAAAAAGTTTCATTGCAGTTCTCATTTTCTGAGCAGTTCACTTAATTTATTCCAGTAACACCTGGTAGCCTTCTTTATGGCTTCCTCGTCGTCTGTGGAACTTTTGCTACTTGGTCCACAGCATGGTTACTTCATCTTTCTCTGGTAGTTGTCTTGAGAAGATTCTTGAGGACCCGTCTCCATAATTCAGAGCTAGTGGAATCAGTTCCAAATATAAAGTACATAACTTCAGATTCAGGGTGTAAATAAATAATCTTTTCTCAGGGTAACGATTGAATGTTTTTCTATTAAACTTCTAGTCCTTCTACATTTTTTATGCTTTCGGTAAATGCGATTGTAACGGAATAATAAGCCACTTACTAGATAGGATTGTTTTTTCAGGAACAGCTCCAAGTGGTGCTCATACAGAGCCCTGGACATACGTTGTAGTATCCTGCCCAGAGATGAAACTTAAAATTCGACAAATCATTGAAAACGAAGAAGAAATCAACTACAAGAAAAGAATGAGTAGGGAGTGGACGGCGGATTTGAAACCTCTGAAAACTAACTGGGTCAAGGAATACCTCACTGATGCTCCCTACTTGATTCTTGTCTTCAAACAATTGTATAGTTTTCGGGAGGATGGAAGGAAAAAGACGCACTACTATAACGAACAGAGCGTGTCCTTGGCAGCAGGGATATTATTAACAGCAATTCAGGTGAGATATTGGTAATTGGATTCATTATAGACCGCAAGTCCGTGCTAAATTTTAAAGAGTCATATGATATCTCTCAAAAATATATGATTTTTATAGTTCTGAAGTAAAAAATGAGTTTCAGCCTTATGCCGTCAGGCAAAATCATGGAACAGTGAAAACATTTTCACAAGTTGGCGTGTAATTTGTCAGAAGTTGTTATACGGTTTCTATTAGCTAAGATACTGGTTAGAACTGGGATAGAAAGAGGTATATTGTGGCTAGATGCCAAATATCCTAACCGGTGCTGTCTAACCACGCAAACGTATCCTTTACCACGTTTGCGTGGTTAGACAGCAGTCTACCCCAGAGCTAATGGATAAAACAAGAGAACTTCTGGCCCGGAGTCTCTGTTATTCGTTCATGAACTCGGAAGGAGAATAGGCCAAACAACGAAAGATCACCGTTCTACCTCTTTTTTGATAGAAAGAATTAGTATTGCTATTCAACGTGGCAATGCTGCTTCGGTCCTTGGAACTATTCCTCCTTCACATAATTTTGATTAGATGATGCATTGCCCTAATTTCAGTACGGAACTGAAATCTCTTCGAAACAAGCCGAGATATGTGGATATTCATCAGTCTCCTGTCAAGGTTAATTCAAAATTGATTGATCCACCTTCTTGTTTTTCAATGCGGTCAATGGACTTAGGTCATTCTTGCCCCCCGAATATGAGTTTTAGTCCTCGTAGTTTTGGTTCCCTTTCAGTGGAAGAGCTTCATGAAGCAAGAGCCGAATGGATCCCTCCACGAAACCCTTCATCACTTGGAAGGATCGATCGCAGCTTGAGAAATGGTTCTTATGGAGATTATGTGAAACATGTTCTTCCTTACGAATCAGTAGAGAGTTGTCCTGAAAATCTAGAGAAGAAAATTGGATTGGATAATTTAGGAAACATTTGCTACATGAATATCATTTTAAAAGTTTTGTTCATGACGAAGAATTTCAAGAACGAGGTTTTAATGATGAACGAGAACGGGAATGTTTCCTACTTATTCATCAAACTCAAACACCTGTTCATGCAGCTGCAGTTTCATAAGAATGTATCATATTTCCCTCCATCCGATTTCCTGGAGTATTTCCACTAGATAGTCCACTAGATACTCGTTAGGACAACAAGACGATTGTTCCGAATTCTTGGGGTTCTTGTTCAATACTCTTCGTGAGTAATACAATAGCAAAATCAATACTCCTGACCGCTCTGGATTGAATTATTCCGAACAGTCCATCTCGTCTTGTGTTTGTAAATCTTGTGCTGGAAAAATCCTCACTTGTTTACTTTGCAGTAAATGTTCAAGAGGTTGCGAAAACTTATGTGAATTTCTCGAACTTCATCTAGCTTTTCCTGATATGACTAATAACCAGTCCGTGCAAAGCATATTGTTGAATCATTGGCATTTTCTTCTGGATCATTTCGCATTTTTCTTTCCAGATTTGGAAAATAATGCCTAGTGGGATGGCGACGATTAGGGAACCTCTGAGCATAAATTCGAGCTGCATCAGTTGCATTCTTTTTTGTTTCTCCGTAAATTAGCAACATGACAATTTTCTTGTTTCTAATATAATTTGCCATATCTAATTATAAACTACCCAACAAATAAATGTTTAAAGGTGGCAGCATATTCATTAGCCTATTTGTTTAGGTAGTCCTAGCAACAGTTTCAATTGTTTGTCACGGATAACTAGAATAACAGGACTTAGTGCATAAGTATACCGAATACGTATTATTTGTTATTAGGTATTCGTAAGAAAATGATCTTCCACAGAAAGCCTTCGAGTCACCCCGTTTCCATTTAAAAAAATCAAGTTAACTGCAAAAATTCATATTTGCGAATGTGAAATAATTCTCAAACGACTGTGAAGTCATAAGCCTCAAAGTCGTAGTTTTTCCATGTTACTTGATCAAGAATGAAGAGATTTACACGATCCACGGCATTCTAGATCATACAATGAAAATTGGAAAAGATTTCATTAGTCAAATATTGACAAGTGAATTATTGTTGGTTTTACAATGTCAATCTCGATCAAAATAAGTGAAAATATATAGGATGTCCCATTTAAAAATCGAAAGTTGGGGTCATTTCCGGTCAAACCGGAAGTACTGCAAAGCAAGTATATATGTCAAAAAATGTAAATATAACTGTAATACACAGCCCCCAAATTTCGTTTTTCTATCTCTAATAATTAAAAAGGTATAGGGGTGAGCCACCTTAGAGAATCACTGGGTATCTACATTTTTCTTTATATTCAACTGGTTCTTCCTTTTGCCACTCAACTCATTATATCATTATTTATTTCATTCAGCTGGTTACCGGAAAAAGATATTTTAAACAGTTTTTTAAACAAATTGTGAATTTAGTATATTGAGCAAATAAAGTATATTATCAATATTATTATTCATTGTGATATTGACTATATTATTACTTTCAGGTTGCTGGTCTTGTTTCTCTCACTTCAACGCCTCTGAACTGTGGTCCAGCACTTAGATTACTTTTGGGAAGGCCGAATTCCGAAAAACTCACATTGCTTTTGCCAGTAGGATACCCAGCTGAAGGCTGTGAAGTTCCAGATTTAAAAAGAAAACCTTTAGAGGACATTATGGTGGAGTTTTAGGTCAATACTTCAAGTTACATTATCAAGGCATCATTGCTTTTAGTTTTAAATTTATAGTGTTTATGTTTCTTAAAGTAGTTAAATCATTAAACAATAAATTAAAATTGTTAGTTTGTTATTTTATATAAACATTGTATGTTTCTTGGGAAATAAATTGTCGTTATATAATATAATAATAATCTATCTCTCAACATATCGTAATGTAATGTCTTACTCACATCAAAAGACATGTCTTAGCTAACTGACAGTTCTATTTTTCATTTTTTATATAGATTCACAAGTTACATTATGTAAGTACATATTTGTAAATTCCACTGTTACTCCCTATTCTGTAATTGGGTTCATTTTGTAGAATAGTCTATGAAATAAATAAATACATAAATATATAACCAACTCAAAAAACATCAATCAAAATTACTAAGATTTATACAGTGCATTTCTTTAAATTCCCCGCCACCTTTTATTTTTAGAATGGGTCAACTCAAAAATTGAAATTTGAGAGAATGAAATTAATGCATGAATACTTTATTTTGAAGTGAAACGGAAAAGGGAGTATTGTGACACATCTTTTTGAAGCTCCTGACAAATGCTTCACTTCTAGGGTTGTGTAATGTCAATATCTTCAACTGCTACAAAATGGCGGAACTTTTAATAATTGCCTGAATACATTGACATTTAACTGCATAATATGAGGTAATAAGCTTGAGGTCAGTTCAGAAGATGCTCCAAATGGTTGCCTTGAACTTCTTGATATACGAACAGCCTATCCGATATTTCACGTCGACCATTTTCGAACACAGTAACGTCAATATCTCTGCCGTATATCCAATATTGAAGCAGGTTCAATTTCATACACTTTCTGCTTCAAGTAGCTCCATAAGAATAAGTCCAAAGGTGTCAAATCTGGCGAGCAGTTTGGCCAGTGAAGTAGTATCCAAATAGTTTCTCACTTATCTGGAGTAATGTGGTGGTGCTCCATCTTGTTGGAATTCAATATCCATATCTAATTCATTAGGATTCGCTTCGAAGATTTCAGTGCTGAGAGGGTTAACAGTAGTTTCCAGCATATTCAAATACAGTTCTAAATTTGGATCAATAAATAGAGGTCCTACAATATGGTTTCCCAATATTCCTGTCCAAACGTAAATTTTTTCTGGATATTGGGTATGTGTTTCCCAGAAAACGTGAGGATTGGTGTCACTCCAATAACGGCAATTTTGTCTGTGAACGTTGCCGTTTACAAAAAATGTACATTCGTCACTAAAACAAATATTGTGGAGATAGGTAGGATGCCTTTCAATGGTTTCCATTATGATTTCGCAGAATTCTGTTCTTCGATAAGGGTCATCTTCAGTTAATTGGTGTACCATTTTGATTTTGTATATTCCTCTTCAAAAGTCTCCACACACTAGAAGGAGACACCTCACAAACATTCGCGACGAAATAAGTAGACTGTTCAGGATTTACTAGCATCTCACTAATTATTTGCACTTCCTGTTCTTCCGGAATGGACGGATGACCTGGGGGCTTTCCCCCCTTGCCATTCAATTTTTTTTCCAGATGGCGCCCAGTCGCCATCTTGAAAGTTTCGTCAGTCAATTTCACTTCATAAATAAAGTCATCATGCAATGATTTCATTATCCCAAATTTCAATTTTTTGATTTGTCTCGTTCAAAAAAAAGACTGCTTCAGTACTTCTGAATATTAATTATGAAACAAGCATGGATCCTTATGAGTTTATCAGCTAGAACCTAAAAAAGAAACAAACAAATCAATAGATAATATGTGAAGCGCAATGAAAGGCGAACTGAAAGGTACAACCTGCAAATTGAATATGGAGAAAATGAAATTTCTATATTCATCTCCATTTAGAAAAATAATAAATTGTGGGAGTTTAAACAACACCCAGAAAACAGTAAGGAACGTGACTCATTTGATCGGATACTAAAAACATAATAATAATGACAATAACTGACTTCAATCTTTCAATCAAATCTACATTCTTTATCACAACAACTTGATAAAACGTGATAAGCTTGCAACAAAATCTAGTCAGTAGTTTAACTTTACAAACTGAGCAATTTTTATTGTACATTCTTGCCATAGCAACACAGTGTATGAACTGATAAGACCTACTTGTGGTCGGACTTTATTTCCCTGTTCAGATTCAGTAGTCAGGCAGTCTTTATTGTTATGGTCAGGATTATCTTATTGTGCTATAAGCATTAATTCGTTATTGAAGATCTTGGCAGTGTTTTATTCTCAATGCCAATGATATAACCGAGATTGCTACAGAAAATTAAACACCGGTCAAGAGAGTCGGAATGAATAGTGTTTAATCTAAAAATAAAGTGAGATTACGACTTTTGCACACAGGTTGTGCCACGGCAAAAATAACACAAGATCGCATAAATAACCGGTAATGGATTTTTAAACCAACGGAGATAATCGTTATCTAATTTTCCATCTTCAATTTCTATTTACACATTCGAATTAAACCCGTGAGGAAACGCAAAGTGAGTGTGAATGAAGTAGGGTGCGCCTTGGACTAGCCTACTCTGATATTCAGATTTGACATTTACCAATCGAAACATGGGTTTTTGATTCACATTTAATAAACAAATATAAAACTAACAAATAATGACATAGTAGAATAAATGAACCTTGTAGTGAAAATTAAACACTGAACTAATAGAAATCAATAATGCACTAGTGAATACCCAGAAAAGAGTCAGAGGCGGGAGTGTTTTTAAAAATAGTCACATTGGAATATTGAGTGCGTAGGTGAGTGTTTTTGACAACAGGTGGTGATTTCTCTAAACTATGGAGTCGACTGTGTTGGAACAACAGAGTGATAGTGAAAAATTCACGAAGACACCTGTACCAATATCAAAATCGCCGGGTACATCACCGTCTATCCGATGTATGACCCAAACAGTGATAGTATCGTTAGCTGAGACTGTGACCCACGATATTACGTACGGTAAGTTTTGACATATTTTATATTCAACAAGTAATGTCTATGTTTATACTGTTGTTGATGTGCAAGAGGTGGAAAGTGTGCATCCTTTTTTGTTCATAATACAGGAAGGAAGAGTAGTCTGAAAAAATTTCCCAGTATAACAATGAAATTAAACGAACGACGCTCTCCGAATTTCATTTCAGGTACCATCGACTACCGCTACTAATGGAGTCTTTTGAATTGTTTTAGTGAACCTCAATTTTTTCGTGGAGGACAATTTCTGAACAGTCCGAGCAAGTGAGGGAAAACTGTTCATTAGACGTTAAAGATGCAAAAAACATATTTTTCTGAATATCTTTACTATCAATGGTTCAAAAACCTGATTCGGTCCCCAGCGGGGCAGGCACAAAGTATATGTTCTGCTGTTTCATCGATAATGAGGTAGTCGGATAGTCAAGGTGCAACATTCCCACCTTGATACCCGCGACAACCCTCCCGTATGAGGGTTTTTGCACGTCAGCTATACCTGACAATACCTTGGATTCAATCGTGCAGGGATGTTTCGCCTCTGGTTTTGGTGAATCATCACTTGAACGCAAACGTTTGCTAACCTGCTCATGGAGGGCTTGTTCCTCCACCTAGGATAGATTCTACATACGCGGCTCAAGAATTTGGTGCAAGGCTGTCTCATAAGGTACCCCGATCTTGAGGAGACGACTCAGTCCATTCCTGGCTGGACCACCAAACTTTTTTTTAGGTTCAGTTATTGGATCAGGAGTTGAGAAGCTCTCGCTCCTGAACTAAATTCACAGGGAGGTCAGTTGGAGTCGTAAACTCGACATCCATCTTCTCTGTAGACTCGCTCCTGATCTAAATTTATAGGAAGGTCAGTTGGAGTCGTAAGCTCGACATCCATCCCATCTGTAGACTCGCTCCTGATCTAAATTTACAGGGAGATCAGTTGGAATCGTAAACTCGACATCCATCTCCTCTGTAGACTCGCTCCTGATCTAAATTTACAGGGAGGTCAGTTAGAGTCGTAATCTCGACATCCATCTCCTCTGTAGACTCGCTCCTGATCAAAATGCACCAGGAGATCAGTTGGAGTCGTAAACTCTACTCCTCTGTAGACTCGCTCCTGATCTAAATTTACAGGGAGGTCAGTTAGAGTCGTAATCTCGACATCCATCTCCTCTGTAGACTCGCTCCTGATCAAAATGCACCAGGAGATCAGTTGGAGTCGTAAACTCTACATCTATCTCTTCTGTAGACTCGCTCCTGATCTAAATGTACAGGGAGGTCAGTTAGAGTCGTAATCTCGACATCCATCTCCTCTGTAGACTCGCTCCTGATCAAAATGCACCAGGAGATCAATTGGAGTCGTAAACACTACATCTATCTCTTCTGTAGACTCGCTCCTGATCTAAATGTACAGGAAGGTCAGTTGGAGTCGTAAGCTCAATATCCATCTCCTCTGTAGACTCAGTGCCAGAAAGAATTTTTAAATTCACTCTTTCCATAAAATTCCCACGAGTAGCTAGGGAAAGAAGTTCAATCACGGCAGAGCCCCGCATTACCGTGACAAGGCGATGCTACGACGAGAGGGCGCCCGGTATCTCGAAGGTTCCGTAGAGACAGCTGATAAGCTCAGTGTAATTCATCCTCTCGGCACGGATACACACACCATAGGATTAAGCCATCGTTGGGATGCCATTCATTTAGGGAATAAGAGAACCACAACTTATTCTGTCATTCCCGTATCCAGCGGGGCTGCGTGGAAGCAGGCATCCGATGGCCGCTTTGCTCAACCTCCACATTCCAAGCCAATGTACTCACCAAAAATAGCATACACAGTGGTTCAGGCAGTGAAAGATGCTATTATGCTATCACACAAGTGATAGTACGATATTTTGCAGTTGCTGGATGTTACTGGTCTTATCATAGAGTTTGCTGACGAAAAGCTAAGCGAATGTGCTTTCCCCATAATCACAAGATGAAAGGGAGAAAGATTCAAGAGTAATTCCAATTCAGCTGTAGGAGTGGTTTTCGTTACTTCCGTTATTCCCGAACATGCATATCTTCATATTCTGCTTAGTATGTTAATAGCAGTCGTTTGTTTCTAGTTTCGCCCCCAGACCGGGGATGCATAATGATATCATGATTTCAACCACAATGAATATATCATGTGTGGT